TCTGTCTGTCTGTCTGTCTGTCTGTCTGTCTGTCTGTCTGTCTGTCTGTCTGTCTGTCTGTCTGTCTGTCTGTCTGTCTTGTGAGCTGGATAACATGAAAAATAAGCAACGTGCTGACTTCCATTTTGCTGCGTGGCTTCATCTATCTGTAAGAAAGGTCACCGTCTAAACTGAGACTGCAATGTCAAAATCCAAACTGTTTTTCCTTTTTATTTTTGCTTTAAAACATAAAACATTTATCTCAGTGACAGGTGAACATTTTTAGCTAACGCTCTGTTTCTTTGAGCTTTAACAACTCAGTTTTGTGTCTTTAGGACATTTTACAAGTTAATTAACACTCAGCATTCAAACTGTATCATGTCTTTAGTTTCATTTATTTCCTAAATCAGTTTGTCACAATCTATCACTTCAGCTAAAACAAACTACTTAACAAAAGTCTTAACAGACAACTACTATCATCCAAATCTGAAATTACAACGAAACAAAATAAGAAAGAAAAAGTCTTTTCAGGCAAACTTAGTTGTTCTGGTGCATTAATGCTAATTGTTCTTGGCTGCAACTTTGGTCCCATTTGTTGTTGACTACATGTTAAAACTGAACCAATGAAGAAGAAACTAGCAGAGACCGGGGACAGTTGCAACACTTTTTACATTTGACACTGTTCCTCGGAGATGGTTTAAATTAAACAAACCAAATTTTAAAACAATAAACTTACATCTGTTTGTTAATAGTTAAAACCATTTATAGATGATTAAAACATGTACATTCTTCACTATTTGTATTTGAAAATGAAAAGTCNCTGTGAAACATAACCCTTTTGCTCTTGTAAACATGTTGTAACAATTTGTGTAGTTTATAGCAAAGTATTTTAACCATTAATACGTTCATAAAGTGTTTGCTTTCATCGCGATACGTTCTGGTCATCGATTTCAATGGTTAGCGTTAGCATTAGCTCAATGCATAAAAATCCCCCTTGCGAAGCCACGCCCAGGTCATGTGATGCCCAATCCAGTAATATATATTAATGGTTCAACCTGCTGAGTGACAAAAATATCTGACGTATTTTTCCTGATCGAGTATAAACAGGCTGAAGACGAGGACGGTCAGAAATGATCATAGCTCCTCCCACAGCTCATAGAAGTAGGMAAACAACAACAAAGATGACTGGATGTTGTGTGTTTTTTCAACCAACCATCAGTGTTGTGTTGGTGTCAGAGTCCGTGGAGGAAAAACTTCTTGTTTTTTGTTAAYGGTGGTGATAGAAAAAAGCCGTGAACATCAGCTGCATGCTCACGTTCAATAAGATGAAACCAGCTCCTCTACGTCTTTTAAACTGGCTTCAGACAGAAAAACCATCAGCTCTGGACCGGTCCAGCTCCTCAGCCCTGAGCTGGACCGCTTCATCAACAAACACACCAACAAAGTTCTAACCAACCACACAATCCAAGCCACAAGGTCCACATCGCACAGTTCTGGGGCAGTGCACTCTAGAGTTGGGCATAATCGTATCGTGTGCAATTAATCGTCAGAAAAACATTAATCGATTAGTTTTTRGCACTTGATGATTAATACGATTAATGCCACCAGGCAGACTGACTGGATATTACTCCAGTCAGAGTCAGTCTGTTCAATATGACGAATATTAAAAATACACTTCTGTAATTTATTTATCTATCAAAACAATTTAAAATATGATGTATATCCTGAAATCTGTAATTTTCACACAATTTGGAAGAATTTCATACAAAGAGAAAATCTTTCCCACTAAATTGGTCATGAGACCAGGACATAAGGGTGTCCAGGGACTCCAGGAGATTAATCGTCAAATTAATCGTTATTGGCTAAATACCATAATTAATCGTGATTAATTTTTTTGCCAATATTGCCCAACCTTATTGTACACGACGGCTGTCGCTGGGGGACAGCAGCAGGAAAGCAGACCAAAGTTACACAATTATTTGTCACTGAGCAGGAGGAACAAGACGYRCAACTCCAAGTATAAAACAAGACTTAACGTGTTGATGTCCATTTCCAAAATCCTGCCTACAACCCTGGTCTCTCTGAAATTGGTTTCAGGATATTTGATGCTACTTATAGGTTTTAGCTACCATTCTGCTACTTCTAGCAAGTCTCTTGCTACCTTCAGCCAGTAGTTTGATACTTTTTCCAGAAGAAGGTGCACCTGGACCAGTCCTGGACCAGTTCTTCTGTGTTTGGCTGTCTCTTTCCTGTCCTC